ATGGTCGCCCAGAAAAATTTATAAGTGAAACCGTGCAATTGTTAGAAAAACGGCTAGAAGAAAAGGATGTGTACTGTACTGAATTAGAAGCAAAGTTAGAACGATTTACTAAAGATGAAAGTACAAATCAATTGCGGGAAGAGCTTGATGATCGAGATTTTAGAATTACTCAACTTGAATCAAAGGTGAATCTTTTAGTCGAAGAAGTTGATAAGCTTCGAAATATGGATGGCTTTCAGTATCAAACGGAAACGAGTCATTTGGATTTAACTTCGGCTTCTTCTTCAAGTTCTGGCACTTTTTTACATTATGATGAAAGCAGCTAAGCGAACATAAAAAGATACACTAACTTTTATTTAAATGAATAAAATTCTATAAATTTAGTTTTTTTGACAGTTAATATTTTGTTCTTTAGATTAGCAAAAAATGTAAATGTATTTAAAAGATAGACTTGTAATTTTTAAATAAAATTGTTTCAATTAAGTTTCATATACCATATTAATATAACATATATACATATGCAGTCTAGTGCAAAGTGTTAGATTAATTTAAATTTCAAATTTAAATATCGTTAATTTACAATAGATGTTATTTATACATCTTAATTTTCAAATTATTAAAGAAATATATGTTTTAAATAAAATTACTTAAATCGATAATAACTATTAAAATTGTTCAATATATAAAATTTTATTAAAATATTATAATACTGTATATACTGTATATATAGTTAAATAAAATAATTTTAACAATATTATTATTATTTTTTTTAAATAAAAGATGCTACAATACATAGTTTTATTGAATTAATATATTCAAATTACATTGAATTTAACAGTTATACAGATTAATTAATACCAAGTAAATAAGTTAATATGTCAAATAAAATTACTAAAAAATGAAAATCTTGCAATTAGTTTTAATACTTAATCTAAATTCAAATTTGAGAATTACTGTATATAAAATAATTATTTTTATAAATCAATTTAAAGACATTCCCAATTATCTTTTTTATTAAAGTTAGAATAACCTGTTTTTGAAAAACATATATTAATTTTTAGTATATTATCTTCTTATATTATATCTTTAATTCATATTATAATTGATTTTTAGAAGAATTTAAAAATTATATAGATATTTATTATTTCAATAATAATTTTTTATCAAAATTAAATAATTTAATAAAAATACATACATTACTATACTCTTTATCTAATAATAATAATAATAATAATAATAATTTTTTATCAAAATATATTTAAAAAATAATAAAATATCCTTTATCTTCTACTAATAATTCAAATAAAATAAAAACTTTTTCTTGAAATTTTTATAATTATTGACAATTAATAAAATATCAAGTTTATTAATTGAAAAATACTAACAAATCCAAGTTTATTTGCAAAAATTAAGTTAACAAATTTTATAAAAAATTATAAATATTAACTACCTATATATTATTTTATTCTAGGTTTTTAAATTATCTGAATTGCTTAAGCCATTTAATTTATATATTATAATATTATAATTTTTATACAGTAAATTATATAAGTATATGAATATTTTGAATTTTAAATAAATATTACTGCTTAAAACAAATAATAATAATTTATAAGAAACAAATAAATAAAACTAGTTATCTATTCTATAATATGTTTTCTTTTTTAAAAAAATTAATTTCTCTAAGTCTAAATTTTTTATAAAAATTAAAAATATTTTATAATTTTCATTGATTATTTTTGTAATATAATATATAATATAATCAAATAGTTTGATCATATGTTCAAAATAAAGATTTTTAAAAGGATTCAAAAATTAAATAGGATTATTTGTTATTTCAAAGCTAATATTAACCAAATATAATACAAAATATTAGTAGAATATTTTTTAATTTTTCGAATATAAATAAAAAAGTCAAAGATTTATCCTTGGAATCTTTATAATCAAAGTTTATTAATAAATAATCAATATTTTATTAAGACAAATAAAATTCAAATGTTAAAATTATAGAAGTTCAAATTGAATTGCTTTATTTAAGATTAAAAATCCTGTTCTTAAATACATAATTCCTTAATATTTCATAATATATTATTGATACTCTATTAATAATATACAATTAATAAAATAATAAAGTAAAACATTAAATAGAACATTAAGATAAAATATTAATTAATCTGAAATAATTAATTATAAATATTAATCAAATAATAAACATTTGACAATATATGTTTTATTTTTAAATCCATATATTGTCTTAATAATCATTATATATGTTTTTTAATGTTATTATATTACCATGTATAAATAATTACCCTTAAATAACATAAATAATTTGATCTATATTAGAAATTATATAGAACTATCTACAGTTTAAAACAAAACTTTTTGCTCTCATAATTTATGTAATAAAAATTTATATGATTTTTTTTTTAAAATAAATAATATATAAATAATATTATTATAAACTTATACTATTATAATATCTCTATATTTCTTTTATACTGTTATTTTTATCTACTTTGTTAAAAAATAAAGTTTAAAATATCTTAATTAAATAATAAAACATATCTTGAAACCCTTTTGTATTTCTAAAATAATGAAATATATAATTCTCAAGAATTTTATTTATAAATCAGTATTTCACTAAGAACTATCAAATACAATATCAAAAAATTAAAAGAAACAGAAAATGTCAAGCAAAAAAAAAGTGGTAGGTGTTTTAAAAAAATAATATCAAAAGCCTCTTGATCAATATATATGGTATTATCCATCTATCTTTTTTCAAAAAATAGTAATAAAATTAATTGAAATAGATACTTATATATTCTATAAAACAGTTTCAAGATATTTGGATTATCTGAAATATAAAAATAATTTGCTATTAGCTATTCCAATATTTATAAATAAACATAAAAAAAACTAAATGAAGTGGTCTTAAGCTTATTTTAATCCAAATCTTAACCCTATCAAAAATCTCTAGAATATGATTAAGAGAGGTGTGGAGAAGTGACAGCCAAAAATTTTATGGAATTAAAAAGTTTTATAATCAAGAAGTAGGTAAATATTCCAATTTTTTTTTTTTTTTTATTCAACTAGCTAGGCCTTGCCTAACGTGCTTTATTTAATTTATATTTGTTACTTCTTTTACAGGAGTTACTATCTATAAACTATTCTAGATACATATTAGGCTATATCGAATTTCTTCCATATCGGCTTGTTGCTATTGA